GATTCAATATTTGTGAGAAGCATGTGACATTCTAATGTTTAATTCCATTGCCCTTAGCACGTGCAAGATATGAAAGATATCACAGCTGAAGATGAGCAAATGTTCTTGCTAAAACAACAGGCATTACTTACTAAGAACATCACAGCTAATAGACAGCAGGTAAGAGCTTTCATTCACATACATATTGATATGATTCTGCTTCAAATTTGTCTGATCATTTTATTGGAATTAGTTTTTATCTCTTTGTATTGTGTTAGGATTCTCCACAGCGGCCAGCAGCTGGCATTACAAGGACACCAGATAGACCAGGTAGAGCTACTGTAGCCAGTGTGTCACCTATTACATCTACTGGAAAAGCCAAGGTAATTACACACACCTCATTCAGCACTTAAACTTAAGTGTTCTGAGGGAACCCAATTTCAAGAAAAAATCTTTTAAAATTGTCTTTTAGGCTAATTGAAATTGTGAAAGAAATCAAATATATTTTCTACCATCAGAGTATGGAGTGTCCAATGCTTGTCATAGATCATATTCTATATTCCAAAGTAGAGTAATAATAATGAGTTTTAAATGACAATTTATGACTGGAAAATGTTTTGTTTAATTGTGAAAAAATTCAGGTTCAGTTCAATGTGACGAAATTGAAATGCTTTAATCAGCTTTTATCATTCAAGCTAAGTGTGCATTCCAAAAATAATGCAGAGGTGTAGATGTTTAAACTTTTTGATCAATTATGAACTGGAAAACTTAAAATAGTCGCATTGTTTTGTTTTTTTGTTTTTTGTTAAACATGTGCTCTCTTAAACCCCCTGTTTCATGTTTCGCCCTGTTGACTTTAACAATGTATTTGCATACAAAACAGCAAGCTAAGATATTAGTGTTTTTATATCAAAAAGTTGTATTACCAAGTGGTAAAACAGGATATAAGTAACATTTGATTCTGTTTTCACTTCAGATTGATAGTAAAGCAGCAGCATCAGGAAGTGAAGGGGTACTCGCCAATTTCTTTAATAGTTTACTCAGTAAAAAGCCAGCTACATCACCAGGCACACCAACAGGGGCAACTGGTAGTGTTGGTAAACCAGGTAAGCTATAACAGTATTTGAATACTAGAAACACTTGATTTTGGTCATCGGATATATGTAGATTTAGTGCATTATAAGACTCCTCATGATTGGCTAACAACAGGTAACTGGCAAACCAATTACTAGTTTTGGTGATCTTAGATTTCGTAGGAATTCTACTCCTGCTCGGCTGCATTGATACATTATTTGGTTGGTATATACAGCCGGGCTTATCTAGGCTGGAGAAATCCCATTTTCTACCATACTCATCTACGATGTCCTGACAAATACCAGTGCTTCGTTTCTTCCCCTTGTAATAATACAGTTGTATTTCAATACTGAACAATTTGTTTTGGGACTGTAGACCACATGATGTCACTGAGCAGCAACAGGTGTTAAATGCATGTTGCACCATGCCCACTGGATTGAAGCACATCTCACTCAACGAATATATTTTTATTTAAAGCATGGCAGTATATTGAATATGTGACTATTTCATTAGATACTTGTCCTGATTGTTCTACAAGACTAACTTGCTATTTTCTGATTATCATGGGTATTATCTATTGCTTTAGTTACTCCAGACAGTCAGGATTTCTGTTGGAAGTAATAGTAACTAGTCATGTTGTTATTAAATAAGATTGTTATAAAAGTCTTAGTGAGTTTTACTGATAAAATGTGACATAATCCACAAATTACAATGAGCTGCATGGCATCTCATAATGGTGCAATTTCTTTGTTTTCCAAGCATATTTAATTTCATTTCTGCATGCAGGTCACCATCATGATTTATTGCGTTTCTCATTATGTTTTTGTTTATTTTTTCCCCCATTTCTGTGTTTCTATTCCTCCAGATGAAGACTCGTGAGGGTCTTTAGCTTCACTGGTCAGTAAGTCATCACAGTGCTTACAATCCTCTGCATGGTTTATTCATATAGACAAAGAGGTGTTAGAGGAATTAATAGCACACCCCTGTTTTGTTTTCTTTACTTTTGCTATCTTCTATAGATTATTCATGCTGTTCTTTCTTGCTAACCTTGTACTCTCTTTCAATTTCACTCTCCATGCTTTGAGATCTTGCATCATCTACTGCTACTAGACTTGAGTTTATTTCTGTTACGATTAAAAATTCCAAGTATGATTTGCTTGATTGTTTCTATCTTGTAGAGAGGACGACAGCACGAAGAGATGCAGCTGCTGAGTTGGACCGACTTACACAGACAAGGAAATCACTAGGGGAACAGAGGGCAAAACAAAATTCAACGTGAACCTGTCTTTACTTTAGAGTAGCTGTTGTAGAAAAGGCTAATAATTCTTTCTCAGTAAACATTTGATGTATGGTATAATTATTATCTAAAGTGCATAGTGGTTCAATAGTCTTTCTGAGTTGCTGTTGCATTCTACAAAGCTTTCTGACTGGCTGTTACTCTTGTATGCTCACTGCGTACATACTTTAGTGTTGTGTAGCCAGCCAGACCCACAGCATTTTCAAAATTGACTATTAACAGTATTGTCCTACTGTGATTTAAATTGCATTGCCATACACAAAATGGTTCATTCATTGCTTTGTATATACCATTTTATTATAACTTTAGTGCCTCTCCTAGATCAGTATTGGTTCCATTTCTTGACTTGTGTCTGTACTTTATGTGGTTTATTAGTTGTGACATGGACTGGCGTATTTATGTTATCTGACAGTCAGTGTCAAGTAAAAATCAGCAAATTGTACCGAGACAGTAAAGCAGGGTAGTTGGTTTGGATCATATACAAATTAGTACTGCCACTAATTGTGTAACGTCTAGTAATTTTTTGAAGGGACTAAAAATATTGAAGATTTAAATGATCAAACAGAGAGGAATTTAAAAGTTTGAGACTTTTATCTTTTTACTTAAAATGCAAAAATTAATCTTACATATGTGTGTTAACTGTGATGTGAAGGACATCTTCCTTTCTCTAAAATTAGGCTGGGTTGATTTACTGCACAGATAATTGGAAATACTCTAAAATGACAGTTTCAATGTTGGCTTAATCTGCACTTTTAGTAGTTGCAAGCAAGGTGCTCATAATATGTAGAAGGAGTATCACAAATTGCCTTCCATTATAGAAACACCTCAAAGTTGGAAAAAGTGCATCTCCCAGCCTCACTTTGGAAGATGAAAAATAAGGATGTCCTCAACTCAAAAGTGGATCCATTATTTCCATAACATTTTGGTACAAAGACTTTATGCTGAAAGCAACAAATGCAAGTTTTATTTGTGAATAATAAGTACAAGTGGTGAAGGAGGCTTTTGGTGCTGTGTGGAAATATTTCAGTTTGGGCATGGTGAAGAAGTATTTTTTATTGGATTGTGTACACCTGTCTCTTCCACTGGATTATTTTCCGTAAATTACTAATTTTGTGTGCATGTCCTGCATGAATCATAGATCAAGAATTAATATAGACATGAGAAAATCTGCACTCAATCGACCACATATTTCATTCACCGAGCAGTGACGACATTTGTTAATCCTGTAGAGTACATGTAATTTCTTTGGCTGAATAATGAAATCAAAGTAAATTGATTAAAAATGCATGTGGTTTTCATAGAAGTTTATCAGTAAATCCCAAGATACTGATGTGTTGGACTCTTATGGTATTGTCATGTGCACATAAATAAACAATACGTTGCTCTCTACAGTATGGGACTCTTATCAAATCCACATGACCTTCATCCTCTCTTACCAGTGTCAAGTGAAAACTTGCCAGCAGAGTGGTTTACCATTGTTTGAATTGGGTGCTTTTTACATCACATGTACAATGAGTGAACAGGTAGTATAAAATTTGGGTAAACCATTTTTGAATGATCAAAAATGGCTGAACTTTCAGAAACTGACAAAATGGCTGTAATTCAACAAATCCAACATGTTCTTTAATAATCCATATCTCAAAATGTGTCTTAGATTCGGCCATGATCATATTGATGTACATATTGTGTGCATCACTTTTCCCAAAGCAAAAGTTGCATGTTTGTATTCAAGGAACTGAAAGAGCATCCTTTAATTCAAATATTTTGGTTTTTATTTATCAGATCACATCACCCAAGTCAGTATTGTACTCATTTGCATACTTAAATTTCTTGAGTCAGGGTTACACAGTTCATCCGGGCATAGGTATTGTAATTTTTTTTATTAAATTAAATAAATTTACACTATTTAGGTGATAGGGAATTAATTTATACAATCCTTGACCACAATCCAGTGGGCGTGTCACAAGAGAAATTTTAATTTTGCTTGTAACAGGGAATGCTTTAACATTTCCTTGAAAAAAAAAGCCAACTTTAGATAGGTATTTGAGCAACAAAAAAAATGTGTCCTTTGTATTTACAGTTTTATTTATAAAATTTAGAAATGTCATGTTTTGTTTTTATTTTTGTTTATGCATTGATTGATGTAGCTTTCCTGTAAATTTGATAGCTATGTAATATATATAAAACTTATAGGAACTCTTGAAAGGAATATTTATATCTGTTGAAAATGCTGATACTATTCTTAAAACACTAACTGTATTTGTTTTATTTGACCTGCAGCAAGTGTATGGTAAACTCCAATCATTAAAATAATTGCATCACAATAACAGATTTCAAGTTATTTATAGTTTTGTAACGTACAAAAATGTACTTTGTGTTATGAAGTGGGTTTATCATGATACTGGCTGGCTATTCGTGCTTGATACTATGTATGAAGTGCCCATCAAAATTTACAAGATGTCTTCCTGTAATGCACCTTTCAGACAAGGAATGACCGATATGTGTACATGTATGCAGTTCTTGATCTTGGGAGTGCAACCAACGCCAAAATTATCACATCTGGAAAATTCATTGCACAGTTTTAGAATAAAGTTGGAATCGTCTCTCATAAATTGATCCATTGTTGATCTTTAAGCACCAGTCAAGAGGCAAGCAAACCACCTCCCCCTATTATGGGAGTTTATATCTTCATACAAGTAGAGCACAATTCCATATTTGCGCTGACTAGATTCAAGTGTAACGTCATGGTTTTTCTGGGCTCTTGAAAAACGTTTGGTTTTACAGTAATACTATGTATTCCTAATATATTCCAATGACAACATGATTCGTTTAGACCCATTCCTGGATCTTTAACACGTCTACATATCTTGAGTAGCCTTAATATAAGTATTGACGGATTGTATAAATCACAAATAAAAGAAATCTGCTTGTGACAAAGCATTCTGAAGAGTATTTTTATTGTTCAGTTTGAAACCTTTCATTTGGGAAAATGTAAGTTATCACGTTTACTTGCCATTTAATTATAAATTTTTGTTATTTTTCCCGCATTATTGTCAATATTGGTAAGTTCATTGTTAAATAACATTCTTATTTTGCTGCAAAAATATTAAAAAATATTCACTGCTGTGTTAAAGCAAAGTCTAGTTTATTTTCCCTATGATATGTGTAATAGTTTTCATGGCCTAATCGTCAAAGGTTGTTTTTGATGCTGATCAACATCACCAATTCTCCAGACTATTTTTTTAATGTGCAAAATACACAACTGTATTCCAAGTTACTTTAGTTTTCAGCGAATTGAATTTCAGTTTTTGTCTGAAATTAAAAACCTCCAGAAATATCAGTCTTTTTTGAGGATTGACTTCTGAGCCCACCTTTATCTTGGTCATCCTGGGCTGAATGCAAATGCTGTTCTAGAGCCACTTCTGCATGACATGAAATAAAAGAAGAAATAGAAACTGCTCTAATGTAATTTGTTCACTATTTAACTAACTGGCACTTGTTCAAGTGTATTTTATTGCAAAAAATCAAATTTGAAGACATTTAGCCTATTTCCCAATGCTAAAAAACAAGACAATGACAGCCTGATCCTCCAGTTTTTAATGACTGTTGATTATAAACAAAACCATCCTAAAATAACTGAAGACGACTGTTGGAGACTTAAAAAAAAATAGTTCAACCTCAACTCTAGAGGGGGCTGTTCCAAAGTAAATATGCATGTCATTTTTCCCTGTCAATGAGTTCATCTGGTTCTTTCCAATTTTCACTGGCCCATTCTGGCATTGGTGTGGAGTACTCAAAATCAGGACCCTGAAATAGATAAATATAGTAAATCAACAGCTAATCCTATTAATTTAATTTTGTTTCTATATCTAACAAATTCAGATCGAAAGTAGAGTATATTCATGCTGCTTTAATGTTTTAAAGGATGAGGCTCTTTGTAAGTACATATGACCCAGTAGGTAGTATTTTTTGGACTCATTAGGAAAAAAAAATAGTCTCAATATGTTGAATTGTCGCTCTTTCTGCCAAATTCAACTTTTGTTAGCAAGATCTGAAGCCAATGGTAAATTATGTACATGTGGGACAAAATTAAAGAAATTGTAGCAAAATCTTGGACCAAAAATCATGGCATACAAAGGTTTAACAGCACATTTACTCCACCAACAGTGATTTCATTCACTTCATGTGAATGTGGCAGTATCTTACAGCAGTTATCCATATTGAACACAATAACTAGTGATGTCATTCACTGTCATGTGAATTTAGTAGTGTTTCACAGCAGTTATTCATATTGAACACAATAACTAGTGATGTCATTCA